TTTATTTATTTGACAGAGAGAGACACAGCAAGAGAGGGACTACAAGCAGGGGGAGTGGGAGAGGGAGAAGCAGGCCTCCCGCCGAGCAGGGAGGCCGATGCGGGGCTCGATCCCAGGACCCTGGGATCATGACCTGAGCCGAAGGCAGACGCTTAACGACTGAGCCACCCAGGCGCCCCGGGAGAGAGGGAATCTTAAGCAGGCTCCAGCACAGAGCTCGATCTCACGACCCTGAGATGATGATCTGAGCCAAAACCAAGAGTCGGACACTTAACCTACTGAGCCCCCGGTGTCCGGTGTGTCTGTCATCTTTAACTTCAGGTCTCCAGGTTTTGTCTTCATCAGAATAGCCACATTGCTCTCCATAATTGCCTTGCTAACAAGTGAACTTTGAACTTATAGATTTATGCTAATATAACGTCACTTTTGTCTATGTTCCACATTGAGCTTTTACAGAAGATATGATTTGCTAATAGGATTTTGTTGTTCAAAATGTTTGAAAAGCCCACTGAGCCCCTGGTCTCTTTCTGGGTCATAAGTGAGAGCAGAAGCCTTCTGTTTGGGAACCTGAGGAAACACGTGCATCAGAGGGTTGGCTTTAATGTCCCAAGTCATCACTCCTGAATGGATCATAAGCCACGGCAAGTGGTATAAAGACTTCATGAAATAGGTACACCATATTTCATGTCATTTTTTTTAAGTAGGCTCCATGCCCAGCTTGGAGCCCAACTGAGCTGAGATCAAGAGTTAGACCCTAGAGCCACCCAGGTGCTCCTTTGTCATTATTCTTTTAAAAACCATGCACGCATAGGGTCATTTTTTTACATGCATCTCAATGTATGCACATACGCACGTGTAGAGATTGGAGCGGGCATTGATTACTTGGCTGCCCAGAAAATGATCCCAATGACACCCATGATGACAACGACAATAGGACAATAGTTAGCACTCATGGAGGGCTGAATATGTAACAGGTGATCTTTTAAGTGCTTTGCATATAGGATCTCATTTAATCCCTCCTAAAAACTGACTCCGAAGTAGAAACTATTGTTGCCTTTGTTTTACGATGAACAAACTGAGGCATAGGGGATTAAGTAATGTGCCCTCGTACACAGAGCTATGTAAGCAGCTGGGCTGGGGTCCAAACCCAGGAGTCTGACCCCAGACCCCTCACTCTTCTCCACCCGGCTACACTGTTGCCTGGGATGCATTGGGAGGTACTCAGAGGGCTGAGAGCTAGCAGCAGAAGGAAGAAGAGGGGGAATGGAGGAGAGCCAGGGAGGAATGTGCTGTGTTTTGGGAGCTGCCCAGCTGGGTGTTTCACCTGATAGCCCCTAGCTAGATATTTCACCTGATAGCTTCTACCCGAGCCAGTCTGAGCGGGCTTGGAGCTGAGGATCTGCACAGACTCCTCCCCCGCCCCCCGCCCCGCCCCGCAAACTTGTCCTGAACTTACCTTTAGCTCCTTATAATACTAAGCTCTCCCCCTATGGGTGGAATTTTCTGCCATTTTTTGGACATAATGCATGCACTAGCATGTGGACGGGCTTGGTCTGAGCAATTGAACCGAAATGCCCAAGTAATAGAATATGTATAAATTCCTTAATGTATATGCAAGCTCCTTGCCCCCGCCCCCTAATACACTGAATAAAAGCTTCCTGTCCTCACCCCAAGGAGAGACGGTGCTTTGAGAGCAATCTCCCTGTCTCCTTACTTGCAGCAGGTAATCAAAAGTTCTTTGCTTTCAAACACTTCCTTGGGTTGTGTTCAATTTAATGCACCCCAGGCAGCACCCACCCCCCCCACCCCCGCCGAATTCAGTCACTGTACTGCCACCCAGACCCTACACATGCTCCTGCGTGTGATTGAGGCGGAGAGAAATTTTTCCACAAAGGAGGGCTTCCCAGCAGAGGTTACTGGTTAGCATTCTGAAACAGTGAAAACGACTTACGTTCATATTAAGCATTTGTGTTTTCATTTCGACGATGAGTTTAGAAAACGAATATACACATATTCAGCATCATTGCGATAGCCACCTTATAGCCAAACAACTACAAATGTAAGAAGTACATCATGAACATTTACATTTACATTTACAAGTCATTAATAACAATTGAAGCACGGGCGCCTGGGTGGCTCAGTTGGTTAAGCGACTGCCTTCGGCTCAGGTCATGATCCTGGAGTCCCGGGATCGGGATCGAGTCCCACATCAGGCTCCCTGCTCAGCGGGGAGTCTGCTTCTCCCTCTGACCTTACCCCCTCTCGTGTTCTCTCTCTCATTCTCTCTCT